TAAATAAAAGAACTAAGTACATAGTTATGATGAGCAAGAGTGCCTCTTCCAAAATTGTGAAATTCATGGCCCCAGGGTCAGGGGTTCTGGTGTTAGGGCGGGGCTCTATAGGTTGTATAGTGAAAATGCATTAATTCTTTGAAAATCTTCTTCTCTGCTGCTGGGTATTAAATAAAAGAACTAAGTACATAGTTATGATGAGCAAGAGTGCCTCTTCCAAAATTGTGAAATTCATGGCCCCAGGGTCAGGGGTTCTGGTGTTAGGGCGGGGCTCTATAGGTTGTATAGTGAAAATGCATTAATTCTTTGAAAATCTTCTTCTCTGCTCCTGGGTATTAAATAAAGAAACTAAGTACATAGTTATGATGAGCAAGAGTGCCTCTTCCAAAATTGTGAAATTCATGGCCCCAGGGTCAGGGGTTCTGGTGTTAGGGCGGGGCTCTATTGATTATATAGTGAAAATGCATTAATTCTTTGAAAATCTTCTTCTCTGCTCTTGGGTATTAATTAAAAGAAGTAAGTACATAGTTATGATGAGCAAGAGTGCCTCTTCCAAAATTGTGAAATTCATGGCCCCAGGGTCAGGGGTTCTGGTGTTAGGGCGGGGCTCTATAGGTTGTATAGTGAAAATGCATTAATTCTTTGAAAATCTTCTTCTCTGCTCCTGGGTATTAAATAAAGAAACTAAGTACATAGTTATGATGAGCAAGAGTGCCTCTTCCAAAATTGTGAAATTCATGGCCCCAGGGTCAGGGGTTCTGGTGTTAGGGCGGGGCTCTATTGATTATATAGTGAAAATGCATTAATTCTTTGAAAATCTTCTTCTCTGCTCTTGGGTATTAATTAAAAGAAGTAAGTACATAGTTATGATGAGCAAGAGTGCCTCTTCCAAAATTGTGAAATTCATGGCCCCAGGGCTGGGGTTCTGTTGTTAGGGCGGGGCTCTATAGATTATATAGTGAAAATGCATTAATTCTTTGAAAATCTTCTTTGCTCCTGGGTATTAAATAAAGTAACTAAGTACATAGGTATGATGAGCAAGAGTGCCTTTTCAAAATTCTGAAATTCATGGCCCCAGGGTCAGGAGTTCTGGTGTTAGGGCGGGGCTCTATTGATTATATAGTGAAAATGCATTAATTCATTGAAAATCTTCTTCTCTGCTTCTGGATATTTAATAAAGTAACTAAGTACATACTTATAATGAGCAAGAGTAGCTTTTCCAAAATTGTGAAATTCATGGCCCCAGGGTCAGGGGTTCTGGTGTTAGGGCGGGGCTCTATCAACTATATAGTGAAAATGCATTATTTCTTTGAAAATCTTCTCCTCTGCTCCTGGGCATTAAGGTGATAAACTAAGTACATAGTTATGATGAGGAGGTGGGCCTCTTCCAGAATTGTGAAAGCCATGGCCCCTGGGTCAGGGGTTCTGGTGTTAGGGTGGGGCTCTATTGATTATATAGTGAAAATGCTTTAATTCTTTGAAAATCTTCTTCTCTGCTCCTGAGTATTAAATAAAGTTACTAAGTACATAGGTATGATGAGCAAGAGTGCCTCTTCCAAAAATTGTGAAATTCATGGCCCAAGGGTCAGGGTTTCTGGTGTTAGGGTGGGTCTCTATTGATTATATAGTGAAAATGCATTGATTCTTTGAAAATCTTCTTCTCTGCTACTGGAGACTATTTAAACAAACGAAGTGCATGGTTATGATGCATAAGGATGCCTTTTTAAAAATTGTGAATTTCATGGCCCCAGGGTCAGGGGTTCTGGTGTTAGGGTGGGGCTCTATTGATTATATAGTGAAAAAGCATTAATTCTATTAATTAGTCCTGTCTGCTCCTTAGTGTTGAGCTGATAAATAAATTGCTTAGCTATGATGAAAATGGGAGCTTTGAACAGAATTTTTAAATCTTGTGGTCCTAGGGTCAGGGGTTCTGGCATAACGAGGGGGGGGGGGCTTTTGATAATATAGTGGAAAAGTGTTAATTCTTTGAAGTCCATAGTTATGATGATGAGGGTAACTCTTCCAAATTTGTAAATTTCTTGACCCTTGGTCTTGGGTTCTGGTGTTAGGGTAAGGCTTTGTTGAATCTGTAGTGAAAATGCTTTGTACCTGTGAAATTCTTCTCTGCTTCTGGGCATATCGGAAGCAAACTGAGTAAAAGTTTTAATGATATGAGTAAGTGTATTTCTACCAGATTTTTAAACATCTGGACCATTCGTCTAAGCATTCTGGTCCTGGGCAGGACTCTATTAATTTGTATTCTACTGAGAGAAGTTATTCCCCCTTTTCCATTCACCTTTGATAATTAATCACTGTAAATAATGTATTTCAAAGGTTAATAGAATAAGATAATTATGCAAGAATGTTTATCATATAATTAAAAAAGTACTTTCTTAGTTTTAATAATCAGGTAGACCTGTAAGTAATAGATAAATAAAAATGAGACAAAAATAACTTATCTTATTAAAAGTTCTTCAAACACCATAAGAGAGGTCAATGCTAGAGATCTTAATATGGGTTTAAAAATAGTATAGAAGAACTAATAGTTTGTCAATAGTCTGCATGGTGATAGTGTTAAGTGGGGGACAGATTAGAACTTAATTTATGAGTTGATACTGAATACTAGACAAATTATTTTTGTTGATCCTGATCTTCCTACTTCTCTTGCTTTAGGGCACATTGCTTCATCTATCAGTGTATTTAACTTCAAAATTGTTGTATTATACTCAGGTGACCGTTAAGGCCCTTGGGCCTCTTGTTTAAAAAAAAAACCGCAAGTCTCCTCTTCTTTACCAACATTAACAAGTGCAATAATACAATAAGGATAAGAAATAATAATTCAGTGCACTTGGCTCAAATTCCTCAATCTGTGTACAAGTTTCAAGTCTATGTCAAAAGGATCTTAAGTTATTGTCTGGTCGTGTTTTTTTATAATTTGACCTTGAAGAAGGAAGAAAGCGGTCAGGGTAAAATATTTTGATGCAATGCATGGCTTGGGCTCTTATTTTGATGTTAAAGATGACCTTGACCTAATAAATTGGATCAAGGTCAAAAATTTTGGTGGCTTGCATCCCTCCTTCATACCATCTCTGCATGTTCCAAGTTTGAAGTCTTTATAAAAAAGGATTCTCAAGTAATGGTCTCATCAAGTTTTTTCTCCATTTGACCTTGAAGGAAGAAAGGGGTCAAGGTCAAAATTTTGTTGCGTTGGACCTTGTATCAATGTCTTCTTTCTATGTTACAAGTTTGAAGTCTTTATATCAAAGGATACTTGAGCTATGGCCTGGATTCTTTTGATGTAAAAGATTGACCTTTAGCTTAACATTATTGGATCAAGGTAAACAATTTTGATGGCGTGCACCCCTCTTCCATGCCACCTCTACAATTCCTAGTTTGAAGTCTTAATGTCAAAGGATTCTCAAGTTATGGTCAAATTGGTTTTTTTTTTGTCTCTGAACTTGCAGGAAGAAAGGGGTCAAGGTCAAAATTCTGATGCAGTGTATATGATGCAATGACCTTATAAATATTGGAAACATTGGATAATTTATACATAACGGGCTTTGCCCATTATGCAAACTATCCCACGTTTCCAACATTATCATTGATGCCCTGGCTTGCCCAACAAACTAGACAGTGATTCTTTAATTGAACACTTGCAGGACAGACATCAATTTCAATACTGATACTGAAAAATTCTTATAAATGACATACTCAAGGTAGATTGAACATTGTCTTTTTCCCTGGAGTTGAAGAGTTCCAATACTTGAAGGACCTGTGTGCTACTTTTTTAATGTCTATATATGATGCAGTACACCTCTTCTAAAACAAATTTTGATGAAAAAAAAACATCTAGAATATATGTTTAGTAATTTTTGTATGACATGAGTCTTTGAATAATACAAGAGTTTTCATCATATAATATCTATTCAAAACCCCTGGTAATGCATGCTGAATTTTTTGTCTGTGAACATTTAATGGAACTATAATTTTAATTAAGAATATCTTGAAAAATTATCAGTAGGTAATGTACATTGCATATGTCCTTTAATTCAAGTTATTTAGTTAAAATAATCCAAGTCAATTGTTGATGTTTTTATTAGCTATAATAAAGGAGTTAATGAACTCATTTGCAAGCTTGTGTTTTTGTACAGCCAACTCATGCCAATATTCACCAATATAAGTTCAATAACCCTATATTACTTGTCAATTTGAAGAATTTTCACAAACTACAGACTGACGACACAACAGACTGGTTTACTTGATCTTTTTTTTTTTTTTTTACTTTCAATGCACTGGTTAATTAGTCTGCTGATGTATTAGAGATAAATGATGTTACTCGTTAAATTTTGGTATGCTTATGGCCCACATACATCCAGAGATGTTTGATGCTTAAGGCATTTCCACCCTCCTGTGATGTCACAGGTTTTTGCAAAAACTGTTAATTTAAATTAATACCCCAAAGAAATATATTTTTGGAAGGATGCTTTTCAATGGGTGTAATAACATTGTTTAGTAAAAGAATTGAAAAATTGAATATTTTCTTTATTTAATCATTTAAATAATTATTCAATCTTTAAAAAATGTTGCTAAGGGCAATAACTCCTTCTCACATATCAAAATTCAGGCACTTTCCTTAATGTACTTCTAATGTAAAATTGTTTTCCTGATATTTACAATTCAAATGTATTTATAAAGAAGCAATTATTTTGGAATTTTCAGCATCACAATTATGCATTTGAACCAGTTTTTACATTATTTCTATACCACTGATTACTAAAAATGTACGATTTTTTAATGTTGACATATGCTTCTGTTTATTTATGACTTACATCTTAAAAAATATGGCATCCAATTTATTTTTTGCGATTATCTATTAATTTAAACTATATTCAGTGAAAATAAATGCAGTTTTCTACTTTGAACCAATAAAATTGTGAGGGTGGAAATACCTTAACAGCTTAAAAGTAATCAATATCTTGCAGAAAAAAAACAATGATTAATCAAATTCTAAAACAATTTAATATTTATAGCACATCTCAATGTGCAATAACAAAGTGAACAATGTCACACATAGTTTGTATGCCATTTGCAGCACAACTCTCTCTGCAGATCCAAGGAATATGATACATCAAAGAAATATTTTACAAGTTCATTCCAACGGTTTTGGCTGTGTCTTAGTTTTCACTAAGTTGAATAACTTCTGGAATGGGACTTCTGGGGGGTGTTCTAATACGTCCCTCTTCTTGGGGTTGAAGTAATTGCGGCGGTACCACGTTTGTACCATCTTCATCCTCTTGATCTTTTTCTGTAGTTGTAGTGTTGCATACAAAAGGGCCTCTGCTGTTGGAGGACAACCTGAAATATTGAACAATAATGTTGATGTATTTTTAAATATTTTAATTGTCTTCCCTGTTTTTAGCTTTTCTTTACTATTTTATACAGACAGAGAGTACATAAATTTTGATTCGTTGCTCTAAGCCCTTGACTCATGTGAGCTTCAGTTCTTTTCAAATTCAAGCTGAGGCTGGATTACAATCATCAGGGATGCTTTGTTAAGAGGGAGAATACCTGGCACATAAATATCTACAGGAACAATTCTGTCACAGCCCCTGACAACTGAGTATGAGTAATGGTAGTATCCTCCTCCATTGGCACAGCTACCCATTGAGATTACCCACCGAGGATCTGGCATCTGATCATACACCTACAGTACATAACATATATCTTCACTTCATACTACCACCATAGTACATAAAAACACATGAACTGTCCCCCATAATAGTTTTTGCTTTCCCGTCATCAGGGGTTCTCATTAATGTTTACAGTAGGTGGAGAAAAAGGAAAAAGTAGGGGGCACTGTTGGCTTGAGAGCCAAAGGCCCAAACCGAGGGCCAGCAGCCCAAGAGGGGAGTTCCCCCCTTTCTGCAATAGGGGGGTTCAGGAAAATTTTTAAAATTTACATTGCATCTGGGACCTCTCTGGGCATATTTTGACTTGTTTTATTTGTTATCAATATGACACTTTTAAGGAGCCCATTTGCCAAAAAAAAAAAATCATGGGAGTAGCACACAGCCTATCCATCTAAACTTCCTTGATTTTTGTAATTTGTTGTAAATAAAGATTTTCAAACAATTTTTTTGTTGCATTTTTGTAGCAGTTGTTTGATTAAATGTATTAATATTTATGTTTAGGTGTATGGGAGACTAAAGAGTCTGAGTGTCTGTAGCTTAAGTAGATAATGTATTATCACAATTATAAAGAATCTGCAAGTTTCACTCAAATCCATTCAGAAAGTAATAGGTACCCTGGTTATTCTTTGTTAGAAAAATATGACACACATTAGACTGACTAGTAAATCTGACGCCTATATTTTTTTCTCGGTTGCAACCAGCAGCCATCACTCATGCTGCAGTTTCAAAACCGGAATGAAAAACGCTTAGTAAAACCAGACTTAACTTATACCTTTGAGTTTTGAAAAATAAAATATTTTATACATCAAAAATTTTATATGCAAATATTTGCTGGAAGTATGTCATGAATGTAAATGGCAGAAATAAAGTATCATTTTTAAGCATCTATCAGGATATAGATACAGGTCAATATGTGTTCAAATCTACCATAACACCCTGGTGGCTTAATGGGATTTAATCACCTGACCAACCCATATCTATCCTGACAGATGTTTAAAAATGATACCTTTTTTTTTAAGAAGTGTGGATCTTACCCTCCTAAGTGCAGGAGCCATTTTGTTTGTTAAAGTACCAGCTACAATCATAACATCAGCATGGCGTGGACTAGCTCGAAATACAACTCCAAATCGATCCATGTCATATCTGGGGGCTGCAAAATGCATCATTTCAACAGCACAGCATGCCAAACCAAATGTCATGGGCCACAGAGAAGTCTGTAAATAAAATGGTATTTAGAATACACTTACGTACAAGTCTGAAAACTGATAATTAATATCAATAGAAAAAGAAACTGTTAAATTCTGTGTGTTTCATTGAAAATTAAAAAGTAAATGACCAGGAAAAAAAGCTTGGAATTTGAAACTCTGAGCTACATAGATATCACGAAACTATTAGGGCTGAAACAATATGCCCCCTCCATGATACGGTACGTATCGCGATACTTTTTTCAATACGATACATTTTCAACAGAAACAAATCATAAGGTTAAAGAAAACATGTATTCAGATTTCAAAAGGCACGTAAAAGGTGGTGATACAATAAGAGTACTATTTGTGCTGCTGTAGATTAAAAGAGCACTTTGTTCGTGTCAATACTAGCAGTGGCAGCCTGCTCTGAAACTTTCTCCGTCCCAATTTTCTCCCTTGTGTGTGTCAAACTACTAAAATGAGGTCGAACCCAATCTATTTCAAGGAGTAATCAATCCCGATTTAAAAAAAAAGTACCGAACTGAAAATCGAGATAGTGAATTGAACATTGAACCGAACAGCAATACTGAACAATATCGATATTTCGGTGAATCGTTTCAGCCCTAGAAACTATGTACATCAGATTGAGATATGTCTTTTATTAGATGCCATCATGGAAACATCTGAATTAATTAAATCAAAGATTATATTATACACATTAACATTCCTGTATATCGGTCCTCTGAGAGTGGTGGTCAATACAAAGTTTTGATAATTTTTAAGAAATGAATGTAAATTAGAGGGCTCAAGAAAATTACATTTATAACCTATAACCCCACCCCCTTTCAAATTTCAAAATTATGTTGTGCCACAAATGACAAATACAGTCAGACCTCCTTATCTTAAACTGGACAGGTCTGAAAGAACATTTCATGATGTCAAGGATATCTAAGTTAAAATAAAAAAGTGATTGGGACATACAAATCCCTTCAATATATCTATGATATCTGAGATATTGATGTTAGAGACACAGGAATTTAACTGTATTCACAGAGCATTTTCAAAACAACTGTTTCAAGAAAATGTTTCCCTAACGTCATTATAATTTTCCTTAACATCCTCATAATTCATACCCTTCTTCCCCAGTTCAAAAGATCATCAGCTCTGGCCATGACAAAGTCCATGTTGCTCTCTGGGTACTGATGAGGGGAGTATGGATCCCGGGGGCCTGGTTGTACAACTTGTGCTTTGGCGTCTGTACCCTGACTTCTATATGGCACCAGACTGGAATTTAACATCTAGTATTTGAAATATATTTCAACACAGTAAAACAGAGTGGCAGTTCACATTCTCCAAGAGAGTGCAATCATAATCAATTGATAACCTTGTTTGCTTCTCATTTTCTTTTTCATATGCTTTTGTCTTCAAGTTTACAGAACATGTTAGAGCTGGGCTGCGACGACTCAGAAGAGGTCCCAAAAGGTGATTAAATGATCCCGAAAATCTAAGAACTAAAACAGAAAGATAGGCTAATATTAACTGAAGTAAAAGAACAAGAACTTCAAATATCTTTTACGACAAGTGTTATAAAAAGTATAAAATAAAATGACTCTCTCAAGATCCCCATAACAAAAGTGAATGCTTTTATTAAAAGTCATATATGGTATATTTTTTTTATAAGTTTAGACTTACTAAAATTAAAAAGATCTTTTTTATTTCTTTTATTACTTTGTATAAAGATAAGACTTTCCTTTAAATTACACAGTTTAAATCAGTCATGTTTCAAAGATATTAGAAATTTAAAACAATAACTGATTTATTTACTGACTCCACATTTAATTAACAGACAGTTTAAAATCAGTCTAACTATGGGAACATAAGGTTATTCAAGTTCAAAATTGGTGAAAATTTTAATTTGAACATAAATAACGTATATCATGTTTTTCTACACTCAATCTCGTATTTTTATTTCTTAGCTCAGATACACCATATACTGCTTTAATGTTAAAATAGTTACACTCAATACAATATTATTATACACACTTTCCAATGATATTGTTATTTAAATTTATGTCATCATTAATTTTGTCAAGATTGATCTCATATCACTTAATGGATGTGACCCAAATGGGAAACAATATATAGTTTAATTGAATATAAAAATTGTTCAAGAATCATTTTTGTCTACTTTATAGAATGTATATAAATAAACAATTACTACCAAAATTTTGGTAATTTTGACATTTACAAAACAAAACGTTACAGTAGTAGATTTATTTATACAAATTTATATTGTACCACAAAAACAAGGTTGTTTCTGCATGTAAATAATAATACAACCAATTAAATCAAGGTTCCTATACTCAAATACTAAATTTCCAGCTTTTAAGACATACATGAGAGCAAAACTTGTAACAATCTAACAACTCTATATCTATATAATTATTCCAAATGCAGAGATCACTTTCATAACAAGTCTGGTAAAGGTCAGTTGAGTTTGAGGAATCTGGGACCACACTGACACTCTTTCTGTTGTAATTTTAGTGCATGTTAAACTTTAATGAATCCCAATATCATTTTGATATAAATGCGTTATAAAGGAATATATGTTAAAAAGTATTTTCGGAACAGAGAGATGTCACCTACCCGTTCTGGTCGCCATTTTCCCCTCTCACGCATGCGCGACATATACACACTGCAATGGCGGACTTGGCGGAGTTGAAGGTAAGTTGAGAGGGAAAAACAAAAGACTTAAGAGTGTAGTATTTTAATAAACTTATAAAGAAGTATACTCACGCTTTTAGGGTGTCAGATTCTCTTCAAACATTCTCATTTTTGTGAATCCAGTGCTTTATTTTCTCAATTGTATAATTTGAATGAGGAATACAGATGTTTTTGTTGAAGTGGACAGAAGATTCCGTCTTTCGTTTTTAGTTTATGCTTTCTTTACGACATTATCTCAGAGACAGCTGTATGGAGTCGTTTGTGTGTACTTTGGGGGACAAAATGTTCGGTATTTTTCCTGGAAATCTTATCAGGAAGGTCTTATTTCTTTTTCTGCGGGAGACAACTCGTACAATTATAAAAATGGAATTGTTACCTCCCTTTTCTTATTCTAGGTCAAGGTTTCATTATACTTGTTCATTCAATATTTCAGAAAATTGGGACATAATGTTCATGTACTTTCATAGGGGATTTAGACATGTATCTCAATTATTTTAACTTTGTTGTTTAGTTTCAAAGAATGATGAATATATCATAATTGATATTTATAAAATGACATAGTCTTAATCTTTTAACCACAGGTGTAAATAGATTATTAAAATACAGATGAGCTGTATCATTTATAAACATGATTAAGTGTTAATAAAATTAAAAAAAAACAAAAAAAAAAAAACTTAAAAAGATAATAATCTCATATTTTTTACTCCTTGTATAATCTTTATTGATTTTGTAGCATATGGTGATGAGTTTTCGGGTTTCGGAGTTGCAAGTATTATTAGGATATGCAGGAAGAAATAAAACAGGTAGAAAAACAGAACTTTTGTCACGAGCTCTGCAACTACTACAGAAGGGATGCTCAGTTCCCATACAGATTAAAATCAGAGAATTATACAAGTAAGATTAAGTGTAAATTAAAAAAAAGACAAAATGTATCAATAAAAAAAATATCATTTTATCTTATATAATGATTATAATGATATATTGATTAATTATCATTTTCAATTTAGTAATAATAAAAAAGGGAGTTTTTAAAAAACATTTTTATGCCTCTTGAAAATTGATGAGAAAGCATATTGTAGTTTGTAAGTCTGTTTTCCTTCTACATATCTTCATCAAAAGCCCTCCCTAATAACTATGCAGTGAAGGTCAATCAAATGATTAGAAGTTTGTCCAATAGATCATTCTTCTTTTTTCCTGTATTGATATTTACATTATATATTTTATAAATCATTAATGTGCATTTTAAGTAAGTTACCGAAATCAGCGTTTTTTTTCCTTATATAACTGGTACCGATAAACGGTACCATTCCCAATGCCAAAAAAAGTTAATTTTTAGACTAAAAATTCCCAATTCAACTGCCAAGCAACTGACTACGATATCGTATTTATTTTCATATGAAACAGTGTACAAATTGACTAATTGTTTCACTTTCGCTTAAATCAAAAGTAGAGATCAGTTGTAAAATAAATATGGCGGGACCTGTTGTGTAAACAGTGTAGTGTCATACACAAATTAAAAGCATGAAAGTGCAAAAAAACGGATATTGATATAAAAACAATAAATAATTGTTGTTTATTCTTTAAAGCATGGAGTAATAGGTAATGAGATTGGAATTAACACAAAAACGTTTCATTTGTTTCAATGACAGAAAATTCTCCTTTGTTTTACTTCAATGCTATTTTTCCCAATTGAACTGGTACCGGACCCTTTCCCAATGGGTAGAAAAAAATCGCTGGAAATTATGGATAAAAACATTTCAAATTCAATTTTTTAACATCAATTTACAGGTATTCCACTTGAACTCATTTTTCATATTAAACTGATTCCAGTGGGGTATTTATTGATATTTTAATTGACAATTATTAATTATTGCAGTCAAATTTTTGGTTCAAACAGGCGCAAGCCAGCACTCAAGCCAGGAGAAGATGGTTCCTCAAATTGTAAGTGTTAAGTGATCATTTAAAAATCCATTGATCAAAGTGGATTTTACCGTTATCAGTTTTGATTTCACATGCATTTGTCTTTGAACAATTGTGTCTTGATCATATTTCTCTGACTCGGCTAAATCTGACAGAGGTTTGGGTTCAGTTTCTAGGTTTTGCACATGTTACTGTAAATGTATTACATTTAGCTGTGTACTGTATTTAGCACTTTTGTTGGAAAGCAGCCTCCATTAAATTAAGTATATTTCTAAATGTATGGTATATAGATATTTATATCTAGCACTTTCAGAAATATGCTAAATGAAATCTACTCTATCATGTTAAAAAATCAATTTCTGCAAAGTTACATACATGGTAAATATAATACATTTGCAGTATATTTGCTTTTATACTTTTGGTTTATTTAAAGCATTTTTGATTTTTACAGTTTAATTTTTTTTTTATTAATGTTATTAAAATCCAAAAATTAAAAAAAAAGTTTTAGCTTCCCCGCTGCTGAGGTATATTTTATTCCATGTCACATTAGGGTGTTTCTCCAGAGTTCAGCAGCGACTTTTGTTACAGTTCAGTCAGATTCACAGTTTGACTTGGCATATTATTGCCCAGTCATTAATCATGGTATTTGGTTTTCATTTACTTCAATCAGTTGCTCTCTTTTTGTTTTCCATTTGAATCAAGTCATTCCTATGTGTAAATGAAAAAAAATTATTTTTTCTTTCTGGCATGGTTAATAGTCAGGTTTCCATGGTCCTTATCTTATTCTTTGAATTGTTTAATCAGCTTTATCTGTAGTTTTCATTGCTGTATTTCTCAATTTTCTGATGTTAAGGGTACTGAGAAATCATTATGTTATTTTTTTTTAGCATGCATAGTCATTTTGCATATTATTTTGTTGTAAGGTTCACAGACAAATGTGTGAATTCATCATGTTTTATTGGATTTTTTTGTGGATTGGGCATTTCATCAAACATTCATCTTCATGTTAGACAGTATAAAACATGTCTCCACAAGAATTTATCTCTGTAACATTTTATGTATATGTAAATTTCTTGTGAGAAAAAGTTTTACATATATATTTTTATATAATTTTTTTTTAATTTGCATGGACATTGATTCAAAAGCTGTTTCACAAATTTTTTTTGTGTATGTGTGTTCCTTTTGAAAGGCCTTAAATTTCTGTTTATTTTAATGTTGTTTTATTTTTGCATTTTTTCAGTTAAATCTGAAGGACCATGGTTTTCAGGTGACTATTAAACTTTTTTTTTTATGAAACCCTGTAAAGTAGACTGTCAGAAAATTAAAGCGTAAAATAATTTATCATATTTAACATCTTATAGCATCTCACTTAACCCTTCAAACGGTCACTCTTGTGCTCAGATGCATAATTTTTTACAATAATTAGCAAAATTTGGCACCATCATTGAAATCATTTTGTTAATGTTTGAAATATAAAACGACCTGAAAATGCACCTATTCAGTTTGCTAGTAAGGAAGTGGCTTTGGCTTTGAACCTGTCAGAAAGAACTAGAAATAGTCCCCTTTAGCACCTTTTAAAATATCAAAAGTAAAATTGAGATATATTAAATCTGTCAGTTGTGTGGTTTTGGATGTTGCATGCATATGGATTTTTCATTTTTGCACACAGGAAGTAAGGCAAAACTATGAAAAGTAAAAAAAAAAAAATACATTTTTATAACTGGAGTAAAACATGTCAGTCTTTGTTGTTCAGTAGTACTTTGTATCTTCCTAATGATAATGTTAAGTTATATAAACTAGATATACCACATTTAAATTTTTAGAAAATTTCTTAGACATTCATGAACATATTTGGTGACAATCATTAGACTTTCAATGTTATGTGAGGGTTGAACAAAATCTTTATGAAGAACATAGTCTTGTCAGGATAAGGAAATGGGAGGGAGAGTCGGACATATTTATTTTAATTCTCTGTGGTTGTTTGACCCTCTGTAATTTTCCTTCCCCTCACACACTAGTCGTTATCTTTTCTCAAAAGTTTTTCATTAATTAGCTGTTTATAATATGGAGCAGTAAATATCCATCATTAAGGAATGCTTCTTATGGGAAAAAAATTTAAATCTATAATCCAATAAAGATATCCAGTCCATACAATATTCATCAGACAATCTGGTAAAATGTATGATTGTATAATTTTTAATCAAATTAAAATGAAATTTCCTGTGAATGTATCCCTTAAATTAAAAAAAAACTGGTGTTTTCTCCAAACTTTTGGTGTGTTATGGAATATGTTTCAACTTCAATAATACATGTATTACTTTAAAAAAAATATCTGGTAAACCTTGTTTGGTCCTGTAACAGTAGTTGGGATGCCTGGCCCAGTGACCATTTAAAAAAAAATAAATTGGACTGGATGTCAGATATCATGGTATAAAAAATGGAAAGCTGTTATATAAAGTGTACATTTTGTGAATATTACAGAAAGGGTTTGAAAAAATAATTTCAAATACATATTAAAAATAATGTGTAACCACTGCAAAATATTCAATAATCTCATTCAGATTGTATTGTGAAAATTTTTTAAGATGGAACTGCATATTTTACACATGCCTGTATGTATAAAATAGGGGTGTCACCAAATAAATTGGTAGGCAGCATTTGGTTACAAAAATTTGTAATTACAAATTTTAGTAAAGTCATATTTTTCAAATTGCTGTTAGTATTAATCTATCCAAAATTTTCAAATCATTGAATGATTTTTTTTTTTACATGTGCTTGTTGCATTTAAACATGGTATAAAATTACTTTCATCTATATATTTATTCTCAAGGACATATGCGGTAGAAATGTTGTGCATATTTTTAGCCATGTGAAATAGGGGTGCAACGATACACTAACCTCACGATACGATATGTATCACGGTATTTAGTTCACAATACAATATGTATCACGATACATGACAAGGATAAAAAAGTTTGTCATCATATTTTTTTTTTAAACTTGACAGGGTTATATCAAATATTCATATTTTTGAATATAATTAAAATATCATTTTGTTAACTTGAACTAGATTGATAGGTAGATCTTTGAGTTGTGACAATATTCTAAACCAGTGGTGAACATTTACAGGGAACTATGGGGACCTTTCCTAATTAATTATCTTCCTTTTAAATTGGAATGAAAAAGGAAGACATTCATTCTTTTATTCCTTTTATTTACGTAGAAAACCAGTTGTCATATTTCTCGTGTTAACACGTTTTAGTCAACAAGACAGTGAATTTTCATTGAAATACATGCGTGAGGAGATATCGTGTATTACCAAAGAATATGTTTAGATCTAAAGGGTTTATCATGTTTTAACATCTATAACTAGTAATCACATTAAGTCCTTCTCCGTGTTAAATCTGAGGTCTGTAAGATGCTGGAGATGAGTTTAACTGCCGTTAATGCGGTATGTCAACCCCACGTTTTCCGCGGAAGCCATTTTGAAATTGTAAACAAGGAAACAAAACGGGCATTTCGGATAATTCTTGACCGATGGAACAGAACCGCGGTATCAGTTTAGTGTATCGTGAATTGAACCGTGGCAAAATATACCGCGATATAACGTCAAACAGTTTATCGTTGCACTCTTAATGTGAAATGTAGAGGTCATCAATAAGTATGCATAAAGTCTAAAGAACACATTTATATCTACTGCCTAATTGGTAGAAGTTCAATATAGATTTGTAAATATATCACCAATCTCTGTTGCATTTGTGTACATTTGATTTTGGGCATGAGTATTTTTTATTTCCCCATATATCAAAAATCAGGCAGCATACTTATTTATTTTAGATTGGTCTGTCAGTATACAAATTACAAAATAAAATAAAACCTTTGAACTTTAATTAACTTTTAGGAGATTCTCAGGCAGAGTTTGATATGAGATTCTCAGGCTTAGAGTTTTATATGAAATTATCAGGCAGAGTTTAAAATGAGATGCTCATGCAGAGTTTTAAATGAGATCCCCTGACAGGCATAGAGTTCCATTTGAGATTCTCAGGCAGAGTATAATATTTTTAAGCAGAGTTTTATATGAGATTCTGGGACAGTTATATATGAATTCTGAGAAAGTTTTATATGAGATTCTCAGGCAGAGATTTATATGAGATTCTCAGGCAGAGTTTTTATACAAGATTCTCAGGCAGAGTTTTATATGACATACACACTCCGCCGTTTCTTTGATAGTATTCTCCTTAGAGAAGTGGACAGGTTTCCGCCTACATCCATGTGGATGTAGACAAAAGCCTGTCCACTTCTCTAAGGAGAATACTTTGATAGTAGTTATGTATACAGAAAGCATCAGTCAGGACAGATTAAGTTCATTCTTAGAGGTCAAAAACTTTACAAGAATGAGAGTCATTGTGTTTCACAAATACATATTGTCTAAACAATGTTTGATATTGTACTTGTGTAATTGTGCATTAATTTTTTCTGAATACTGTTAAAAAATTGAGCAACTGTTTATTTCAATTTTATGCAAAAATTTGTAAATGTGATATTGTTTTGGTGTAGTTAAGGTCATTGGTAAAATGTGTTTTTTACAAAGTACATATACAGTCATACCTCATTATCTTGAACTCAGTGGGGTGATAATATATTATATTAGATTCTCAGGCAGATACCGTTGCGAAAGCAAAAATCTAATATAATATCCAAGGCATCTGAAGGTTTGAGATATTGAAGTCAGAATACACTGTCAATAAGAAAATATTGGTTGGGACTTTCAAATCACTTCAATCTATCCATGGTTTTTGAAATATCAAGAGTTCGAGATACCGAAGTTCAACTGTATTAATTTTATATTTGGAGAGAGCTAGTGTACATATTCTTTGTCAGTTATTGCCAGTGAAATAACTGGTGAAATAACCACCAATCACTGTTTGAATCTTTGGCATCAATGGTATAACTTGGTATGGTATGTCATTGGATTGCCTTCTTATGTGGGGTCACCGTATTTAGTTAGCAGACACAAATCTTATTGACCGGAAACTTTTGCTTTTGAAGGTCCTATGGATTACTCCAATCGGATATTGAACCATGACCCTTCACCACATTCAAGTAGCCTTGGCATGTTGCCAGTGCATCCAGATGTCAGACTTAAACTTTTACCTTTCTATGATTGTATCACAGAGCTCATGAAACCGACAAGTTTAGGTAAATAAAGTTCATATATTAGGGAGGACACTGCAAAAAATAGCTGTAAATATTGTATTTTAATCTATCAGAAAACTTTTAAGATGATAAAATGACTCTCGATCATTGACGATTTCATTTTTATAAGCTGCATATATTTTGTGTTTCTGCTTGTGTCTTAATTGTACATTCTTTGGTTTCATGTACCTTATTTCAGTTTCTTACTATAGTTTTATAACAAATACATGTTTCATTTAGTACCAAAAGGACCAACAAAGTTTCAGGAGAGCCACTACAGTTTTCATCTGACTCCACAACAAGCACAAGATATTGCCATGTCCAGGTCAGAATGTCACCATTCCTATATGTTGATAAATATTTATACTCTTGCAACAAAATTGGTGAGGGGGTGGGGTGGGGTGGGCTTACATGAATAACTGTTTCTCCATCCATCTGTTTATCTATTGATGCTAGGTTTAGCTCTGCTTTAGATCACTTTCTAGCTTATCTCATGGAGTATACAAATCAATTTACGCTTGTTGATAATTAATTATTTTTTATTGATTATTGAGATGCAAGCTTTGATCAAGTTCTTGCAAGGGGGGAGGGGGGATCTGCCATGTTTTTAAAGTTGATAAGATACAAGTAAGATTTGGATTTAAATTTTATTCAAGCTGTGGCTGATGTATTCCTTGTGTTATATGTATACAATTTAATGGTGCACTACAATTTTAATGCTTATTTTTTGAATTCTTTTACCACTTAAAATTATCGTTGCTATGTTACATTAGGTCATTGTGATGTCATGATTGCCTTTCATTGACACATAAGAATTTTTTGAGAGGCAAGTAACTGTGAAACGTCAACATTTGAAAACATATTCTGTTTTGATTTTCAGTTTGAGTATTTTTTTTAGCTCACCTGGACGAAGTCAAGATGAGCTTATGCTATACCATCGGCGTTAGCGTCGGCGTCCCGGTTAAAGTTTTAGGAGCAAGTCCCATTCCCAAGTAACTATAGGCCCTACCTGGACCAAACTTGCATGTATGATGCATCTAGGGAGGGACACTACCACACTTGCTTCGGATGCTGGATCTGACCTAGATTTTCCAAATGAGAGACCAGCTTGAAGTTTTTGGAGCAGGTCCATTCTCAAGTAACTATAAGCCCTACCTTGACCAAACTTGCATGTATGATGCATCCAGGGGTGGACACTGTGCTTGCTTCGGGATGCTGGAATTGAGCTAGATTTTCCACCTGTGAGACCAGGTCCCAGGATCATGAAACAAACTTAGACTTAAGTCAGATTTTAAATCGCCTGTAAAATGTTTCATAATTGTCAACTAAATCTCTAAATTTGCAGATAACAACACTTTTGTAAAGCAATATTGAAAAATATTTTAATTTTGGTGTGCTTGACTTCTATAACATTTTAGAACAACATGAAGATTTTGACTTAAGCTTAAGATGTTTCATGATCCCAGGGCCTGGTTTAGATTTTGGAGCAGTCCTGTTCCCAAGTAACTATAAGCCCTACCTGGACCAAACTTTCATGGATGTTGCATTTAGGGATGTACACTAACCAACCTGCTTTGGATGCTGGATCTGATCTAGATTTTCCACATAAGTGAATTTTAGCCATTTTTTAACCAAATTAGCATGGATGATGTATTAAGGGATGGACAATTCCAGACTTGCTTTGGATTCTGAACCTGACCTACATTTTCCAGATGAGTGACCAGGATTTTTTTTTTGGAGAAGCTTTATAATATTGTGGCCTGTTATGATTAAACTTGCATAGATGGTGCATCTAAGGATGAAAACTTCCAGACTTGCTTTGGATGTTGGAACTGACCACAATTTTCTTGATAACTAAACAGGTTAAAAGTTTATTGAGCAGGTCTATTTCCAAGTAACTATAAGTCTTACTTAAACCAAACTTGCATGGATATCGATCTTGGGATGTACCCTAACTAGAAAAAAAAATATTTTGTGAAATTTGCCTTACTTATAGATAACATTCGTCGAAGTGAGCTTCGTAATCTTTGATTACCTATGTTTTTTTATTTTCAGGGATTTCAGACCAGGTGCTAGATGTGAATACACAACCCAGATACAGCTAAGGTGTGTGATTCGATATTATGAAGAATGTGACTACATGTATCATATAATCAGTAATATTAACATATTGCTAATGGTTTGGCAGTATTACCTGCTCCATCTAACTAGATGTGGTTATATTATACCTTCATATTCATAATCAGATCATATGGCATCATTAGGCATAGTTAATATTTGAATTAGATCTACTGGCCAATTTGGGGATATGACATGAGAGTGTTTTAAAATGATAGATGCAAGGATTTTTTTTTTTTTTGTTGATTTTACATGACAATGTAGAAGTTAACCAACTTATAACTTGTGGGTGATTTCATTTATATGATTACTCCTTCCTTATTTCATGTAAAGGTAAAATATGATGTAATATTTAGATACACGTTCCATTCTATTAAAGGGGATTTTTGGTCAGTACTTGGCAAACAGGTCGTAGTGTCTTTAGCAGTTTCTTTTGTATGCTTTTTATGCTGAAAGTCACGTTTTTCATAGTATCTCAAAAACAACCTACACAGAGTGTCAACTTGAATTATTATTTTACTTGTGTGTGCTTTTACATGATTTGATAATTTACTATGATAATGATCAATAAACATGATAAATGAAAGAAATGAATAGATCATGTTTGTTGCATTAGTAACATAAAAAATTCTTTGTTTGCTACAGATTTTGTCTCTTGGAAACAAGCTGTGAACAAGACGACCACTTCCCACCAAGCATTTGTGTTCGTGTTAATGGGAAAATGGCTCCCTTACCAGTATGTAATTTTTCACACTCGAGATAATTGAAATATGTTTTCTATAACAATAGTCAGTTTTTATCAATTTGCATCTTTCAAGCTTATCTAATCCAAAGTATCAAGAAGGCTTTTCTGATTTTTTTCTTCTGTTATCTGGCATAGGTTGTCTATTAACATGACATTTTCAACTTCTTCAGAACTGGATTTAGTTTTAGCCATGCTTGACGCAAAGCATCCCTGGTCAGAGGGAATCAATTTTATAAAAGAAAGGGCAATGCATCCTTCTAAAGAATGATAACTAAAAAAAGAAAAGAAAATGTGTGGTTATTATACCCCCCGCAAACGAAGTTAAGGGGGGGTATATTGGAATCAGCTTGTCCGTCTGTTTGTCCGTCTGTCTGTCTGTCCGTCTGTCTGTAGACGAGATTTTGTCCGGACCATTTCTTGGAAACTGTTGCAAGGATTTGTCTGAAAATTTGTACACTTATTCTTCGCCATATGAAGGTGTGCACCTGGTATTTTCATCTTGATAGGATAATTTTTTTGCATTTTACTGGTGTTTTTTTCATTTTTAGCTCACCTGAGCCAAAGGCTCAAGTGAGCTTTTCTGATCAAAATTTGTCCGTTGTCTGTCGTCGTTGTCGTTGTTGTTGTAAACTTTTCACATTTTCATCTTCTTCTCAAGAACCACTGGGCCAATTTCAACCAAACTTGCCACAAAGTATCCTTGGGTAAAGGGGATTCAAGTTTGTTCAAATGAAGGGCCACGCCTTCTTCCAAGGGGAGATAATTAAGAATTCGTGAAAAATTAATGGCATCATTAAAAAATCTTCTTCTCAAGAACCACTGTGCTTGAAAATATGAAACTTATGTGGAAGCATCCTCAGGTAGTGTAGGTTCAAGTTTGTTCAAATCATGACCCCTGGGGGTCAGGTGGGGCCACAATGGGCGATCAAAGTTTTACATAGGAACATATAGGAATAATCTTTAAAAATCTTCTTCTCAAGAACAGCAAAGCCATGATTGGTCATATTTATATGGTAGCATCCTCAGATAGTGTAGATTCAAGTTTGTTCAAATCATGACCCCCGGGGGTCGGGTGGGGCCACAATGGGCGATCAAAGTTTTACATAGGAATATATAGGAATAATCTTTAAAAATCTTCTTCTCAAGAACAGCAAAGCCATGATTGGTCATATTTATATGGTAGCATCCTCAGATAGTGTAGATTCAAGTTTGTTCAAATCATGACCCCCGGGGGTCGGGTGGGGCCACAATGGGCGATCAAAGTTTTACATAGGAATATATAGGAATAATCTTTAAAAATCTTCTTCTCAAGAACAGCAATGCCATGATTGGTCATATTACATGGAAGCATCCTCAGATAGTGTAGATTCAAGTTTGTTCAAATCATGACCCCCGGGGGTCGGGTGGGGCCACAATGGGCGATCAAAGTTTTACATAGGAATATATAGGAAAAATCTTTAAAAATCTTCTTCTCAAGAACAGCAATGCCACTATTGGTCATATTTATATAGTAGCATCCTCAGATAGTGTAGATTCAAGTTTATTCAATTCATGACCCCCGGGGGTCGGGTGGGGCCACAATGGGCGATCAAAGTTTTACATAGGAATATATACGGAAAATCTTTAAAAATCTTCTTCTCAAGAACAGCAAAGCCATGATTGGTCATATTTATATGGTAGCATCCTCAGATAGTGTAGATTTAAGTTTGTTCAAATCATGACCCCCGGGAGTCGGGTGGGGCCACAATGGGCGATCAAAGTTTTACATAGGAATATATAGGAATAATCTTTAAAAATCTTCTTCTCAAGAACAGCAAAGCCGTGGTTGGTCATATTTATATGGTAGCATCCTCAGATAGTGTAGATTCAAGTTTGTTCAAATCATGACCCCTGGGGGTCGGGTGGGGCCACAATGGGCGATCAAATTTTTGCATAGGAATATATAGGGAAAATCTTTAAAAATCTTCTTCTCAAGAACAGCAAAGCCATGATTGGTCATATTTACATGGAAGCATCCTCAGGTAGTGTAGATTCAAGTTTGTTCAAATCATGACCCCTGGGGGTCGGGTGGGGCCACAATGGGCGATCAAAGTTTTACATAGGAATATATAAGAAAAATCTTTAAAAATCTTCTTCTCAAGAACAGCAAAGCCATGATTGGTCATATTTATATAGTAGCATCCTCAGATAGTGTAGATTCAAGTTTGTTCAAATCATGACCCCCGGGGGTCGGGTGGGGCCACAATGGGCGATCAAAGTTTTACATAGGAATATATAGGAATAATCTTTAAAAATCTTCTTCTCAAGAACAGCAAAGCCATGATTGGTCATATTTACATGGAAGCATCCTCAGATAGTGTAGATTCAAGTTTGTTCAAATCATGACCCCCGGGGGTCGGGTGGGGCCACAATGGGCGATCAAAGTTTTACATAGGAATACATAGGTTAAATCTTTAAAAATCTTCTTCTCAAGAACAGCAAAGCCATGATTGGTCATATTAAAATGGAAGCATCCTCAGATAATGTAGATTCAAATTTGTTCAAATCATGACACCCCCCCCCCCCTTTGAACCACTTTTTTATTTAAACTTTTTAACCTTTCAAGACTGAACTGATTTCTGCTTTTTCCTAGCCATAGTGCTCAGGTGAGCGATGTGGCCACTGGGCCTCTTGTTATTATGTGGTTTTGTCCGGATCTGTTCCCAGAGACTATTGCATAGATTTGTATGAAAATTTGTACACTTATTATTTACCATATGAAGATGTGCACCTGGTATTTTCAACATTATTTGATCATTTTTCTGCATTTTACAGGTGTTTTTTTTTTTTTCATTTTTATTGATTTAGTCATTTCGGGTTCATGTCTAAGGTTTGAGACAAAAAATCTAGAACATCTGTACAAAAATGTGAACTACAGCTTAAAACTACTCATTAGAAATTAAAAAAAAATCACAAAGTATTAAAAACAGTTTTTACATTACACAGCAGATAGTGTAAATCCATTTGTCCCTTGGGAGTAATGAGTGGACATGCATCCAGTTAAAGATTAAATAATGAGTTCAGTGTGGGGAGCTGTTAGGGCATCTCTGATCAAGCAGGTCTTATCTATATCTCCTGGGAATTGGGCAGAAAGAAATAAAGATCTCTGTTATCTAAGTCTCTTAATTGTAATTTATGTCTGTTACTGGAACCAGCCTTTTATTTTTAAAATGAGTTTGATATAAAGGTATTAAGATCAATTTGATTTTGTATAATTAATTATGATATTTTTTTTTCAACAATCAATTTGCAGAGTGTCATGTCTCACAAAGATGACAGATAGTTGCAAACTATTTTTTCAATGTAATTAAAAAACACTGTAATTACATTGTACTGGTATTGATGTTTTATTAGGCTGCACCTTAGTTTCAATCATTAAAAAAAATATAATGAGTAATTAAATTTTCACTCTAAATGTTTAAGCAAATTGTGAACACCTCTCACATCTAGAAAACATTAGTGATTTGGTACCTTCTCTGAAAAACCCAGCGGGGGGTATTTGTCCCTTTTGGACAGTTCTAGTTTAAAATTTGTACAAATTATGGTCCCATGGGCTAAGGAGGGGCCATAACAGGGTCAAAGTGTAGCATAAGAAAAATGTGGGGTTAGCTCTTTAAAACTTTGTTTTAAATAATAGCTGGCAACAATGAAGTCAAAAGTTCTGGATTAAAAAAAATGTTTAATAAAGGTCCTCCAGACCTCCCCTTCCACTTTGTAAAAAATAGCAAATTACTGTAAACATATCACATTTGGCTTGTATTCTATTGAGTGTCTTTTGCAGAAAGAAGCTTCAGCTAAATCAAGTCCATAGCTAAATGTCTTGTGTATATCTATAATAAAGCACATTCAGAAAGCATTAAATCAAATGTACACCAACTTGTTCAAAAAGCAATATCTGCCAAATTTTGTACTTGCCAAATAAAATACATTTACTGTACTCTTCCTAATGTGCCCTATGCACTTGGTTCATATTTATGACATTTGTCAAATGCCAGCTCAATCTTTGAATGAGATCTACACTTAAATTCCTTTAGAAAACACTGTAATTGATACTATAAGTACATGTATAAAGTTCATTAATTACATTTTCAGAATCCAATACCAACCAACAAGCCAGGAGTAGATCCCAAACGGCCAGGTCGTCCAGTGGATATAACACCTCTGTGCAGACTCTCGCCCACTCTACCCAATCAAATTGAGGTCTCGTGGGCTGCTGATTTTGGACGGGTGTGTGGTGTTTTTTTTTTTTTTCCAAGTTGATAATTGAATAGATACAGGTCTAGTTATACGCCGTCTTTAGACGGGACGTATTATGTTATGGCGTTCATGTCCGTCCGTCCATCCGTCTGTCTGCCCGTCTGTTAGCTTTTTCGTGTCCGGCTCATAACTTTAATACTATTAGGCCTAGGATTATCAAACTTTGTCATCTGATACTTCTTGCGTAGAAGGTGTGTCGCACATTTAAAGTAGGTCGCTCTGACCTTTAATTAAGATGCTATGGCCAAATATGGAAAAATCCTGTCCGGCTCATAACTAGAAAACTATTGGACTTAGAATCATCAAACTTGGCCAATTTATGCATCTTAGGGAGAAGGTGTGTCACGACCTATTTCAAGGTCACTGTGACCTTTAATTTAAGTGAAATTTAAAAAAAAAAAACTGTCTTTTTACTATTAGATTACACAATCCCAAAAAATGCAAGAGTGTTGCAGTATCCTTATTAAAAAATGTTAAATCAAGAAAATACTTATTTTTTTCATTATATACTTTACAGCAATCTGTAACAAATGTAATGTTATAAGAGAAATTCCACCTCTCCCATGGGTGTAATTATCAAGCACTGGTCAAGGAGAATTTGATAACAGAAAATTGCACATCAAATTAGAGAGAAATTAATGAGTTTAGTGTGAGGAGCTAACTGGTAGAGCATCTCTGATCAAGCAGGTGTTATCTATATCTCTTGGGAACTGGGCAAAAAGAATCAGCCGTGTTGGATTAAATAGTTGGCTAGCCTAACTTTTAAAATGAATTTGGTGAAAAGTAATTAAAACTTATTTGATATTGTATGATAAATTAATTTGATATTGTATAGTAAACTAATTTGATATTGTATAATTTAATTAAAACTAAATATACTCGGGAGGGGGGGGGGGGTGATATTGGAATCAGCATGCCCGTTGTTCGTATGAATTGCAGCTTAAAACCAGTCTGACATTAAATCTAAAAAAATCAAGTATTTTAAAAAAAAAAGTCTTAATTATGGTAGATAGTCCCTACAAATCTAAGAGTAATGCAGGAACCTTATTAATCAAAGTACTCAGAAGTACAGAGAGCCGGGCTCACTTACAGAGTAGTGAACAAAGACCGTTTTACATGAAACATACATGTACATTGTAATAACAAGTAAATAACAACAAGTTCAGACACTGGAAGAATATGTAACACAAAAAAATATATTGCATATAGTATAAATATAAAATGTTTAAAAAAATTAATAAAACGTAGTTTGAATTAAACGTTTTTTTTATTGTTTCGGGTCTTATACCACTTACATAAGTAAATGAACATTGATGCAGAAGGTCAAACGTTTATGTACAGATGAGTCCTCAGCGGGGAGTTGTGCATTAAAGTGTACATCGGGTCACGTGCTCCCCGCATCAGTGTTAAGACTGGTAACACAACCTTTATTTACAGAATGTGACCCAGACAAGGAGATCTGGTAGAAAATCTTTTGCATATGTCTAACAAATAATTAATCGAAGAAAAATGGAGAAAGTATATTACCATTAATGTTTTGTTTTGTTTAGAGAAATTCTTTATTACAGTTAAGTTAAATTTGTTTAATTTAGTGTTTGTATTGCCTCAAAGGTGGTTGAACATACATACTATATTCTTACTCGTATTTGATTTGGCGGTGAGGAAGCAGCATTTCTGGTTGAACACAGTAACATAAGCCGGCCATTGCTCTTCGAGCAATGAGCCCGGCTAAAAATGAAGATGAACATCAAGATAACACAAGTTTTTTGTTTCTTTTTATAAATCTTTTCAGCAATTTTTTTAAAAAATCTTTGTTTTCAAATTTAATTTCAGAATGACATAAATATGCATTTTTATTGCACTACAAAGCAGATAGTATGTATAGATCCATTCATCTGTTGGGAGTAATGAGTGGACATGCATCCAGTTAAAGATTAATTAATGAGTTCAGTGTAGGGAGGCTAGCTGTCTCAATCATTTCTGTTAGAGGATCTCTGATCAAGCAGCTCTTATCTGTATCCTTTGGGAATTAGACAGAAGAACTGCTTGTCAGTTTATAGCATATGTCATTTGATGGTCAGCCTTTTATTTTTAATATTAATTTGAAATAGATAAAGTTGTTAAGACTAAATTGATATTATGTAATATGATATTTTTATTGAATTTTTTGAAAATATCAACTAATTCAGAGCATCATGTCTCACAAATCTGAAAGCTGGGGGGGGGGGGGGGGTGTAGATGGGCATTTGTCAAGCTCTAACACAACCAGTTGAGGATCTATAATGTAATATTTGTTATAATTAACCCTTTTGCTGCCGTACAGATTCCCAGTTCAAATTACGTACAGTGCCGTGACAGTTTTCTATTACGTTGAATCTATTATGTAACGTAACTGTGACGTCACAAACAATGTACGTAGGTAAAGGTATTTTTAATACTTTTTCATTTTTGCAGAATATCGTTAAAATAGAGACAATCATACACAGATTCTACAATCTACAACGACAGACCACTTCGGAAAAAATACATTAATTTTACAGAACTCTCAGAATTTCAAAAGTCATACTCAAAATTTATGCTAAGAATATTTTTAGTAGATCTAGTCACAGGCACTTGACGTTACATATTTTTCTTAAATAAAAAATATAAACCCATATCCAATTCACTCGAATTATTAGGTAGGGTACCTGTGGATCAAGTGTATACATGTACAACATATATTGAACGCAATACGAGTAAAGTTAAAAATATATACAAGTGCAGTGTAATTGAAACACAGTGATACATAAATAACTACTTTTAGCTTTTCGGGATCTACCAGTGAAAGTGTTCTAAAAAATAAAAATTCTACTGGACTTGAAAATGGTTAATTTCTGTTCCTACACCTTATACTGTTACATATTTTTGATCATAGACCTTACCTATTACCACATGACGTACACACACTCTTTTCCCTGAGACCACTTGTATTGTTTTAAATTATATAATTGTTATTTATGTTTGTTCAAACCTTTATATGCTGATCTTTTACTATCTTTTAATGTCACATTTTTGTAATCGTGAATGATAACCTGGAATACACCGACTAAGACGTACATTACTACCAAAAGTTCGTTTTCTTCGGTTTCTTTATCACCGGCCCTCTATCGGCAACTCGGATACAATCTGTGGATTGTTAAATATAATCAAATGAAAAAGCTTAAATTTATTTTGAAAAATTATTTTGTCCTTTTTGTGATTTTACTACAATATTTTTCTACAATATTTATGGCTTGTATCAGGCACTTGTTTCTGTAATAAGTTTTTAACCCATAGTAAAATAATGTTATTTTTATTTTATGGGTTTAAAAAATATCACAAAAACAAGTGTCTGTGCTTTGTTTTTGGTGCTAGCTAAATTAACACCTTCAAGGTCCTTAAAAAATTACAAACATTTCATTTGTTAAAACTAAATATTCAGTCAACATGTAACTTACAATGTGCATCTACATGTGAGTAGTAATTGGCCTTAAAAAGTATACAAGTTTTCATTACAAATTATGTTTTTCAAACAGAAAGCGTCAAAGTACGATTTTAAGAGTACACAATCATACTAAACTTTTTGGCGATCGGCAATTCTTAATGTACTATCCAACAACTAAAATAAAAGGCTAGAAAAATAACGGACGCTGTTACTATACTGTATATAAGTATATTATGATTTTTCACAATTACATCGGAGAGGTGTGGAACCTTTTGAGCAAAGAGAACCGTTAATTTATAGATTTATCTACTTCATTTGGAATGCTTCACCTAGCTGTGAGGAAGTGAATTAATCTATTACTACTAGTTAAGTTACGTTGGGAGGAAATCAAGATCTTAGGGGTACATGTATTTGCGGGGGTGAGAGTGGGCCTCTTGTCCCGATTTCGACCGAAAAGATATTTTGCCTGCTCTTTGATTGTTAATACATCCCATAATTCTTGTATTAATTTAATAGCAAAAAATTTAATCTGACACGAGAAGCATGCGAAAATATCTGACCCCGGCTTTTAACCCCCCCCCCCTCCCCTCTCACCGCAGTTAAAATCAATCGTACCTAAAAGAAACCTGTATTGGTCATATGGACAAACAGAGTGAGTGGAATTGGATGGGAAATTATAAACTTGCAGAGATTACATGTCATAGGCGTTTCTTGCAGAAATAAGAGCCATGATTGCTCAATGGATATTTCCGGCAATTGGCGATGTTCAATTTCGAGTGAAACATTCTGGAAGGGGCAAAAAAGGCAAAAAAAAAAATAAATAAATAAAAAATTTTAAAAAAAAATTGAAAAAATTAAATTCAATGTTTCAACATTTAAACAATTCTGCTCCCTACCCCTTTTCGCCGATATACACCCCGGGCTTGTTGGAAGCCCCCCCCCCCCCCCCCCCCACAAATTATATTACTTAGACTTTTTTTTTACCATGTTTATTATACACATACACAGTCGTGATTTTTTTTTTTTTTGGCTTTCCCTCCTGATTTTTACACTTTTACAATGGTAAATATAATTCATAAAATACCATCAAAACTGGTTGTTGTGTATTTGGGGAAGAGGGCAGGACGACCCACAAGTACATGTACATGTGCTACAAAAGAAGACATTTTGATTTTTCTTAATGAAAGTGTCATGCACTGACTACATGTATTCTAGAATTAAAGGTATATGTAGAGTTCTTTATTTATTTGCCGAAAATCTTTTATTATGCGACATGTAATCTGTTGTAAACTGCATTTCTCTGTATAAATTTGTGATGCTCCTGAGGATAAAACTTTTTATAGTCGGTTAAAAAGCTCTACAAGGCTTAAATGTTAAATTGATAAACTGTATTACATGTATATATAAAGCCGATTTTAGATTAAAAAAAAAATATATTTACAGAAATTACAATGCATTACAAGCAGATTTGGCGAAAAGTGCCGACTACCAATGATTGCCTGTAGAT